CCTGGGCCCCCTGGCCCGTAGCTATACATTAGTGCATCTCCATCAGGAACACACATTGCAATTGCACTTTCACGTGGCAGAGTTTTGCAATTGATTTTTCCCATTGCACGGATGGGAGTAGTAATTGCAAAAATGAAAGATTTCATATGTTGCAAGCACTCCATGCAAGCTAGCGTGGAAAACTTAATCATTTGTTTTTTTTTCTTGTATAATTTAACTGCCAACATGTGGCTTTGTTTGGCATAAATTAAATTAAAATATATTTTTATTTTATTTACTTTCAATATGGATAAAAAGGTATTTATGAAAAATTTTATTTATTAAAAAAATAAGGCCACATATGCAATTGTAAGTTAATTTCACTTAAATACAATAAAAGCAAAGTGAGTTGGCTTGCAAAAATGATGTTGTTTAAAAAAAACCACAAATACAAATAAAATTGCGTCAATGTGGATGCTCTAAGGTCCTTAGTTGCTTCTCTCTCCCTACCCTTTCTCCTATCAATTCTCCCCATTTTCTAAACGCGGCATAAGAGGCTCAAGTGTTGATCATCCAGCTTGACAGTCAATCCACACTTCTTGTCAAATTAGTCTACATGATACATAATTTAGATAAAGATGATATTTAAAAAATTATGGGCTAAAGTAATCTATTTATATACAAATCAGACCGCATTAAAGTGTTAACTCTTTTATACGAAACACTTGTGTTCATTGGCACTAATATCCTTCCTGAAATTAAGGGTTGTTTGGAACAGTTGAACCGACAAACTCCATATATGCACTCCTCACTACCGTATGTATTATAAGGTTCAAGAAAGTAAGGCGTCAAATTGAAGTAGGGTTGAGTGAGCGTGGTTACTTAATTTTTAGTAATCACGGTTGCTACCTTAATCTACACCATTCATTATTTCTTTTTCACCCTAATTTTAAATTAACGATGAAGATTATATTAGGATAATTTTGGAATTGAAAAATATACCACACCTGATTACTCTATAAATTATATCCAAACCCTACCCTACTGCAACCCATCGCCAACCACCAAGCTCCCTCCCCCGTTACCTCCCGACGTCCCTCCTCCCTTCCGAGAACCCCCTCCACCCCCCCTCCTCCCTTCCCCTCCTCTCTCGCATAATCTCCCATCCCTAGCATCCCCCTTTCTCTCCCTCTCTCTCTCCCAGAAGCTGCAACACCATCAATGGACGTTCGCGTCCCAGATTGCGACCTCCCCGACGACGACGATTCCCCCGTCATTCCGAATCTTCCTCCGACATTGCCGACAGCGACGCTGGGTTCCGAACATGGATCGCCGGTCGAGGTCGTGGTCAGAAACGGGAACCCGATCAGAGAGATCAAATACAGTTTGTCGGAGGGAGCGTTCATCTTTGCTTTTGCAGGTAATCTAGAATAGTAATGTTTGCATTGGTAGAGGATTTGCTTTGGTAGCTACCTTGCATTTTATTTTGGTACTGTTTGCATTATGCTTTGGTAGTGTTTGCATTATACTTTGGTGGTTACCTGCATTTTCTTTGGTAGTGTGTGCATTACGCTTTGGTAGTTACCTGCATTTGTGTTTGTTAGATGGAGCATTATGTTTTGGTAGTTATCTGCATTTGGTTTGGTAGTGTTTGCATTATGCTTTGGTAGTTTCTCTGTATTTGTTTTGGTAGTTTTTATATTGATTTATTTATGCAATGATATTGTTTTGATTTCACAGTAGTAGTGGTATTGGTTGTTTTGGTATTTGTTTGACTTTTGTAATGGTATAGATTGTTTATATTGGTAGTTTTTGTGTAATGGTATAAATTTATTTCTGCAATGGTAGTGATGTTTTTCAAAACGGTAGTGGTTGTCTAATGGATTGGTAGTGATTTCGTGTTTTTTCTTTTGCAGAAAGATTGAGAAAAATATGGAAAGGAAATCTGACTGGAGATTACGAAAGTGAGAGAAAGAGAAAGAATTGTAATTAATAGATTTTTGTAACTACCTAAAATATAATTTATTAAAATTAATTAATTAGTATAATTTATTTTTCCATGCCCAATTTACCCTTAGTAACCACGGTGATTAGTACATTTGTAGTAATCACCGTAACCGCTCCCATTGAAGTAGGTAGGGCTGGTAAACGGTATTGAGGTTAACGGTTTAACCGGTAACCGTACCGATAACTGTGGTTACCAGTTAAGCCGTTAACCGTACATAACGGTATTCGGATGAGGAATTTTGAGAAGCAGTATACCGACATGAGGTCGGTAATTTACCGTCGGCATTACCGGTTTGCCGAGACCGAATATGAAAGGGAAACAAACTTCGCCAGCAAGCATGGCCCAACCATGAGTCTCTAATTAAGTAAATAACCCAGTTCCACTAAATCCTAACTTTTGCATCGCTCTTTACCTCTCGACCCTGCCTGTCGCACGACGAGTCACGCCGCCCGATCCCTCCTCGGCTCCTCGAATCCAAACGCCAGCAGATTGAAACTGCAGAATCTTTCGTTCTCCTTGTCGCCGGCGGTAGCTCGACCCACGAGACCTCATCCTCTCCGTCGGGCTCTATTTTCGTCGACCCCTGTTCCCATCGGCCCTGTTTCCGTCGACACCGTCGCCGTCAGAGCTTATTCGCTCGAGCCAACAGTTCGGCCTCTCCATCGATTTCAGGTAATGAAGGTTGAATGGTTTATACTTAATTGTTTCAATGAATCATTATTTGTGATTGCGTCTGTGTAATATATATATACCCGAGAAGAGGAGCAACATCTTTTGTTTATTTGACTTATGCAGATTGGCTTTAGCAGAGGACCTCACAAAATCATGAATTTAAAATTTACTTTGTTTTTTTTGGCTTTTGCAGGTTACAACGTGGCTGTATGTGTTAGCAGCATTTGGAACTTGGAAGGGGCGCAGGCCGCAGCACTGCTTCCCGCAGTCCAATTTGGTTTGCGGTAAAACGGGTAGCCGGGATGACAACCGATGCCGTTTCATTCGGTAGTCAGTTTATCGAGAATAAATCGGTGTCGGCATACGGCAGGGGTGTTGTGGTTTCCGGTATACCGGTAACCGGTCAAACGGTAACCGGTTTAACCGGTTACCGACCGTTTACCAGCCCTGGAAGTAGGCTCGTGAAAATTACATAACCTATTTTGCCTTGTCAGCTTTGGGCGGGAGATTGACGATTTTTTTAATCTAATTTGCTATTTTCTCAAGCCGAGACTAGCAATACGAATTACAGAAAATATAAAGAGGCTATCAATAACTAGTAGGTGGGCATTGGTGCGGTCCAAATCGCTCCATCCGCTCCAAATCGCTTATGCGGTCAGTCCACCGCACCATTAAGATTGCGGTCTAATTCTTAAGCGGTTTGCGGTTTCGCGGTGCGAGTTGACCGAAACCGCGCGGTTGCGGTTCAAAACCGCAAAACGCTAAATTCCTAAGATCACCCACCAATACTCAGCAACGCCCCTCAGTTCTCACCACATAGCGTTGTCGTTCTTTTCCATTTATATCTCTGCTACCGGCCGGCGAGTCGTTGCCACCGTCAGTGCTTTCGCCGGTAAAATCAGACGGCGGGGAAGGTGGCCCTACGCGTGGTGGAGTGATGGAAGGATTAGTTGCCGCACCGCCAAGCTGACGAGGAGTGGCGGCGCCGCCAATTCCTTGTTGTGCCATTGGTTGCTGCCCCGCCGCCGGTGGATTCAGGAGCGGCGCGCCGCTCATTGTCGTGATTTGCAATTGCCTGCTCTACTTCTCCGTCCAACGTCACCGCAGATTGATTATATTTGAGTGTCCTCGTTCAAAGTTCCATGCTCTGTAGTGGGATTGTGATCTACTAGTTGAAAGTTTAATTTACCGTGGCAGGTTTTCATTGCTGCTGATACAAGGCTTTCACTACTGGTTCTCAGTGTCATGCCTCTTCTTTGTTCTTTCAACTCAACTGCTCTTTTTTATTCTTTTTCCAACTTCATAATTGATGGGAGCACTTTGCGGTCCAACTTGCGGTTGCGGTCTAAACCGCACCAAACCGCTAATCTATGCGGTTAGCTTTAATCGCACCGATTGCATTGCGGTCCACCATGCGGTGCGGTCCAATTAATATGCGGCGTGGTGCGGTTTATAACTATACGATGCGGTGCGGTTCGAACCGCACCGATGCCCACCCTAATAACTACGGAACTTTGACAAACAGGGAACAAGAAGGTACTATTGACTATTTTGTGTTGTGCAATTATACTGTTTTATGTTGAAGCAAGGACTGTGAACTATAGGAGGTTATATTTGAAAAGTCAGTGCAAGAGCAAGGTTATTATGTAACTATGATTTAACTATTTTATATTGTTAAAACTGATTAGCATTTGGGTCCGATACTCAAGGTATTCCTGGTCCAACCGGATGATAGGGTACTAGTTTTTTCTTACAACATTCTTTAAAACATAAAGAGTGGGTACGCTTTATTGTTAAAACCGCTAGCTACTGTATCATTTTTTGTCCTGTACTGCCTTTCTTCAAAGGTCTTCCGGGAAAACCTTATTCGTCAGTTCGAAGCTCTTTTTCCATCATTCCAGCGAGTGCTCATGCCTCCCCTCCCAGACCCGCTGCAGCTTTCCCTACGCCAAACAGTCCCCTCATCTTACCAGTCTTTAGCGCCGTTTCTGCCACACGGTATCGGTGGGAAAACCTTTGCCAAACACGCCACCACCCATGATTTGTACTGTCCTTCCCCTGCACATCTTGAACAGTGCCCTCATTGCAACCCATTTCAACATGCCACACCCCCACTCCTCACTCCAAAACTCGCCATCCCGACGTGCTTCTGCACGACTGCAACCTCTTCAGCACCACATCCGTGGAGCCACCCACCTCTCTGTGACTCTCCTTTCCCCCTAACCCCATTCCACCTTTTGCTTTTCTGTGAACCCCTTTGATGGATTAATTGAAACTCCTTAAAGAAGATGGGTTCCGAGCAGAACGGCGGAATGAACTTCCCAACAGCGAAGCAGAAGCCATGCGTCAAGGGGTGCGGTTTTATCGGCTCGGCGTCCAACATGAACCGCTGCTCCAAGTGCTACGGGAAAATACGGGCCCTTGGGGAACATTCGGCATCTGGCAAAACCGCGATGGGAAGACCCTCAGCTTCCCATCAATGAAACCCATGTCAAAAGCTGACCCAATTGCTGCCAAGATCAAATCTACAGCGACGGTGGTCGAACAGGTTATTGCTCGGGAGAAATCAGCAGCGGCAGTGGCGAGTCATCGTCATCGGCAAAGGCGGTTGCGGTGGCTGCAGAGGTGGTCAAGGCAGCAAACATGTGCTTGACCTGCAAGAAGAATGTCTGGTTGACGGGCTTCTATGTGCATTGCTGGAAATCCCCATAGGGGTTAGCCTCAAATTGTGTTCCATAAGTGGATTGCTGGAAATCCCCGCGCCTCGGCGATTCTGTGGGTACTGGACGATGTGGACAGAGAATGTGGTGAGTTCTCTATGTTGTTAGTTCCTTCCACCCAACATTGTGATGAACTATACCGTTCTAATGTCTTATATTTGAATTCCTTCATTCTGTTCCCCATTGTGACGAATCAGACAACTCTGATGCCTTATATTTGTTTGGTGCGTGGCACAGTTGCACTTTAATGAAGTAGATGAAAATGTATTATGTGTTGACCCACTTTGCTTTGGTTCTGCCGTGAATATTTTGTTGGTTTCATATGTCAATTGGTGTAGCAATTGGCAATCACTTTGGATTTTCTCTCTTATCTGGTTTATTCTGAATAATCATTTTGGCGCCTCATGGTTCTAATCTGGATTTGGTTGGAATTGCAGCGAATGTGTACCATAGAGATCTCAGCCCAAAGGAAATGAGTAGTGCATTGTTTTTGTTATCTGTTTTTGCACTAATCTATGGTGTACCACTATCTAATGTGTCCTGTACTGATCACAGGAAAATTCCCTCAATCAATTTTGTGGACTGATTTTGCTGTCAAGATTGGTCTTGCTGAACTCATTCAATGGATGGAGCTGCATCAGTGATTGGGCCATTTACTAGCCTCCAAGCTCTTAATCTGGCGTGGTACACTTTTTATATGTTCTTCAGTTGGTTTTACTAGATATCCTGCATGTATCTTTGGCGGAGCTATAAGCAGCTGCCTAAGCAAGCCACTACTGCTAATACTTCCTTAGTTCCTTTGTCCCTAGCTTATCAATGTGGCAAACTTTTAAATAATTAGAGTATCGAATGACCACTCTGTTATTTCTTTTTCGTTAAGGCCATGGGGGAACTTACATTCCATTATGTTACAATGTTTACCATCCAAATCTTCCATTAAGGCAAATGAATTCCATACATAACCTCTCATTCTTTAACGGGTTGTTTCATTATGCTCTCTCACTTCCTACAAAGTTACTACAACTAAATTTAGACTAATTAATCATGCTTTGTTGTATGTGCTTGCTTGCCTCTGGATACGATCAATAAGGACAGGCCCGGAATCACTGTTTTGTGGGTGTGTTTAGATAATTGACTATGTACCCTTTTCTTGCTTAATGGATTCGAGTGGGTGTATTATACAACAATGTTATAGTTTTACTTAAATTGCTACTCTTAGACTATTTTGTACAGGTTTGCTATTGACTTTTTTGTGCTAGCAGTGGATGTATAGCATAAAGTGAATTGGCTCAAAGGACAACATCTCAGCCTCATGCATTCTCCTCATCAACAGTGACGCAACTACCTCGCTCTTACAGAAATCGGCTGAGGAATACTTGGAGAAATCAGCCTCATGCATTCTTTGCCAGCCGTTTTATCATGCTAGATTTGGCTATGTTATAACTATAGTCTGGTTGTCAGAGCTCTGTATGCAAGAATGACCATTTTGTTTTGCAAATACATGAAAAATAATTGACATTTAGTGCTTCTTCCAAATGCATATGCTTTTTACTTTGCCTGTCAATTATGTTAATGTAAGTTTAGTTCCTGCGGCGTAGCCGCGGGTATTGATTCTAGTTGTGTTTAAAGGAAGAGGACGTACACTTGCTAATTTGTCCATAAGAAGGAGACTTTATATAATACGACATCAACGTTTTCCCTTATTATGTTCTTATCCCGAATTCATATATTTCTTAATCTGAATATTCTACTCCTAACATCAAACTTGATTTCCACATTTAGCAATTATCAGTTCACGCCTTTTCACACTATTCATACCCATCTTCTTCGCTCATTAGGATTCCACCTAGCTGTTTCACGATTTTGTCAAAAGAAAATTACTTCTATGGCAAGTTGAGTTGTGCGAGAAGCGTAAAGTCAATGCATATATACCAAAGAAATTCCTTATGCTGAATGGTATTATTTGATTTTCCTTTAACAACCTTCAGTCATAGTTCTAAAATGTGAATTGTTCACTAATATATTGACCTTGATTTATTTCAGGGTATCCAACTGTCAAATTCTATCATTTACTGCAAAAAGAAAAATTGACTTTTGTAAGATCACATCCATTTTTTTGTATAATTTGGTTTAGAAAAATATATGACTATCGGCGGCTTTGTACACCGATAGTGCAATGCAAGGTAGTTTTATTACTGGTATCGATTGAACCCGGTACAACCGGTGGCACGCTGGCTGGCGTGACAACCATTGCTTCTAGCTATGATTGGAAGGACCCTGCCGCCCGCAAGTGGGAAAAGAAGAAGAAAACCATCAAAATGGCCGAAAGGTCAAAAGGAACGTAAAAGCGCGGCGCTCCTTTTAGTGCCCACTGGACACTGGTTCTGTTCATTTGGCCGTTCTGGAAGAAATGAATTAGGAAACAGATAAACAAAAGGCGCCATGCATAGTTAAGCCGATCAAAGACAAATTCACCCGCTGAAAATCAGAATCAATTACCCCCAATTGATTGATCCGAGTATATAGCCGAACCGAACCAACCAACCGAGTCTGAAAATCCATATTCCATGCCACGTTACTACTACTTCCCCCCCACCCAAAAGCTGGCCACAACATAAAGGGAATACCTTCGTTTACAAGATGAGAATATATATAAACCTATTATCATCCCAAGACCAGTAGGCCACCACCATTGTTGATTTCTTGTCCAAATATCAGACAGGAGTCCCGCAATCGAGGCCATTCCAACACCACCAGAAAAGAAAGGAAACAGAACAAACCTAGAATAGAGATGTGTTTTCTGGTTTGCTGTTGGGAAGAACACAGTTTTAGATCATGACAATGATGGTGGTTCGGGTTGTCCTTCCATTCTAAAGCCAACCCTGAGAGAAGAAGAGGGAAATGGCATCAAACAACAGCGTGAGGGATCTGCAATGGCTTCTGCAAGCTATCAAGTCCTCATCAGAAGAAGAAAGCCTCCAACTTCACAGCATTTCTTTCCACCTCTCTCACCCAACCTCAGGCTGTTTCCAAGAGACACAGAATTCCCTCCATGTCAACATCTCCAAAGATACCTTTCCTCTCTTCTCCGAGATTCTCTCACACCTCGCAACCTCCAACAACAACATGCTGCAGTCCTCAACAAACATGGAGTTCCATCGAGCCGAATGGGGGCTAGAGCAACTGCTTCACCTCAAAACCCTACTCCAAAACAGCTCAAGCTGCATTAGCCAACTCGTCTTTCGAAGGAACAGGTTCTCCACAGAATCCCTGAGCGAGCTATGCGAGATACTGAAGAGAAATTCTGTGATCAAAGAAGTAATGCTGGCCGAATCTCGAATCGGCCCTTCTGGTGCTACCCTTTTGGCCAATGCCCTCATGGTGAATGAAAGCTTGGAAGAGTTGCAGATATGGGAGGACTCAATTGGGTCAAGAGGAGCTGAGGAGCTCTCCAAAATGATTGAAGTCAACTCCACGCTTAAGCTGCTCACCATCTTTGACTCTCACTCCTTCACAGCAACTCCATTGATCTCAGCAGTTTTGGGGAGGAATAGAGACATGGAAGTTCACATTTGGTGTGGGGAACAAAATGGGGAGAAGATCTCAAAGGTGGTGGAGTTTGCCAATGGTACCCTCAGGGTTTATAGTAAGCTGGATGTTTCAGGATCATGCAGAGTTTCTTGCTCATTGGGGTGGAATTCGACGGTGAGATCGTTGGACTTGACCGGGGTAAGGCTGAAATCGCGGTGGGGGAAAGAGTTCCGGTGGGTTTTGGAGCAGAATCGAAGCCTTAGGGAAGTGAGGCTGTCCAAGACTTGTCTCAAGGACAAGGGAGTTGTGTATGTTGCAGCTGGGCTTTTCAAGAACCAGGCATTGGAAAGTTTGTATCTTGATGGGAATTGGTTCAGTGGGATTGGAGTTGAGCATCTGTTGTGCCCTTTGACCAGATTCTCTGCCTTGCAACTCCAAGCCAACACTAGTCTCAAAGTTGTAGCTTTTGGGGGAAGGAGGACCAAGATTGGGAGAGATGGAGTTGCTGCAATCATCCAGATGCTGACAAGCAATGAGACCGTGACTAAGCTAGGCATATACGATGATGAGAGCTTGAGACCGGACGATATAGTGAGAATCTTCAGAAGCTTGGAGAGCAATGCGAGTTTGAGGTGCTTGTCTTTGCAAGGCTGCAAAGGAGTTCAAGGAGAGTTGGTGCTGAACGCAATCATGGAGACATTGCAGGTCAATCCTTGGATTGAAGAGATTGATCTCTCAAGAACACCACTGCACAACTCTGGGAATGCTGAAGGTGTTTATCAAAGGCTAAGCCAAAATGGGAAGAAGACTGAACCAGAAACAGAACCAGATGGAAACTTGCTCAAGGACATGCCACTAACCGAACCAAAGAGTTGTCGTGTTTTCTTGTGCGGGCAAGAATATGCAGGTGATCATCATATCATGAAAACCTCCCTAAAAACTGACTGCATCTTTCTATAGAATTGGGGATGAAAATATTACAACGTGGTTGTTTCATTTTTCTGGTGTGTAGGAAAGACCACCCTTTGCAATGCAGTGGCACAGAACTTGAGCTGCTCTTCTTCAAACTTAATTCCTTACATGGACCACGTGAGGACCCTTGTGAACCCCGTTGAGCAAGCTGTGAGAACAAGTGGATTGAAGATAAAGACACTCAGAGATGAAGAAATCAAGATCTCGATATGGAACCTCGGTGGCCAGCACGAGTTTTACGCTTTGCATGACCTCATGTTCCCCGGTCATGGCAGTGCATCCTTGTTTATAATCATCACCAGCCTCTTCAGAAAACCCAGCAACCGAGAACCAAAGACACCAGGTGAGGTAGAAGAGGACCTGCAGTACTGGCTAAGGTTCATAGTTTCCAACTCAAGAAGAGCACTCCAGCAGTGCATACTTCCTAATGTCACCATAGTCCTTACACACTTTGACAAAATCAGTCAGCCATCTCAAAACATTCAGCTGATAGTCAATTCGATACAGCGAATAAGAGACAAGTTCCAAGGATTTGTGGAGTTCTATCCAAATGTGTTCACAGTTGATGCTAGGTCCTCGGCATCGGTCAACAAACTCACCCAGCATCTTCAAAAGACGAGCAAGACCATTCTCCAGAGAGTGCCAAGAACTTACCAGCTTTGCAATGATCTAACCCAGATTCTTTCAGATTGGAGGGCAGAGAACAGTAACAAGCCAGCAATGAGGTGGAAAGAATTTGATGAGCTTTGCCAAGTGAAGGTACCTGGATTGAGAATTGGGTCAAGGCATGATAACAAGGAGAAGGTGGAAATGAGAAGGAAGGCTGTTGCTAGTTGCCTGCATCATATGGGGGAGGTGATTTACTTTGATCAGTTAGGATTCTTGATCCTAGATTGTGAGTGGTTCTGTTGTGAGGTACTCGGGCAACTCGTGAAACTAGATGTTAGGAAGAAGCCAAGCTCAATGGAGAATGGGTTCATCAGCAGAAGGGAACTTGAAAAGATTCTGAGAGGAACTTTACAAGGCCAGATAATTCCTGGGATGGGTTCTTCAAAGATACTTCAAACCTTGGAAGCTGGCGATTTGGTGAGAATGATGCTGAAACTTGAGCTGTGTTATGAACAAGACCCAGCAGATTCGAACTCTCCACTGCTGATTCCTTCCATTCTAGAGGAAAGCAGAGGAAAACCACAGAAGTGGCTGATCGTTAGCTCACCTGAGTGCCTCTATGCCGGGCGCCATCTAGAGTGTGATGATTCAAGCCACATGTTTCTTACACCAGGATTCTTCGCACGTTTGCAGGCAATCAATCTTCTAACTCTTTTACTTCAATTCCAAGTCTTGGTAATCTAAGAATCAAGCAGATCCATCATTTCTCACCTTCGAGTTATTTCACAAAACACATGCAGGTTCATCTTCATAACAGAATCATGGCATTAAGGAACCAATATGGAGGAGCAACTTATAGTCCTGAGAAGTCCCTCGTCTCAATAAATATCAATGGCATCCACATTAGAATTGAACTGGGAGGACAGCTTGGGTATTACATAGACATCCTTGCTTGTTCCACAAGAAACCTTACTGAGACTCTCAGACTCTTTCATCAGCTGATAATTCCAGCCATTCAGAGCCTTTGCAATGGCGTCACCTTGAACGAAAGCATCATAAGGCCTGACTGTGTGCAGAATCTTATCGCTCCAAGGTACAGGAAAACACAACATGTACCCATTCAGCAGCTGAAGCAAGCCCTCCTGTCAGTTCCTGCTGATGGAATGTATGATTATCAGCACACATGGGATCCTGTTTCAGACTCCGGTCGTCTCATTTTACAATCAACCTTCGATTTGGCTAGGGATCTCTTATCTGATGATGACTTCAGGGAAGTGTTGCACAGTAGATACCACGACCTCTACAACCTTGCTGTGGAGCTGGATGTTCCACCCATAGATGCAGCAGCGGACCAAGGTAATAATGAAGTTGTTGACCAAATTGATCCAAGCTTTGCTGGAATAGCCAGAGGGGTAGAACAAGTACTGCAGCGGCTCAAGATTATCGAACAAGAGATAAGGGACTTGAAGCAGGAGATTCAAGGGCTGAGATACTATGAACACAGACTGCTGATCGAGCTTCACCGCAAGGTCAACTACCTTGTGAACTACAACACCCAGATTGAAGAGAGGAAAGTACCAAACATGTTCTTCTTCGTCAGAACCGAGAACTACTCCAGAAGACTGATCACCAACATGATCGGTGGAATGAATGCTCTCCGGCTACACATGCTGTGTGAATTCAGGCGGGAAATGCACGTTGTTGAAGATCAGATGGGCTGTGAGGTGATGCAGGTCGACAACAGGGCAGTGCAGTGTTTAGCTCCATACATGAAGAAGTTCATGAAGCTAGTAACTTTTGCATTGAAGATAGGAGCTCACCTTGCTGCTGGAATGGGGGAAATGATACCCGATTTGAGCAGAGAGGTTGCTCATTTGTCTGGGTCTTCTCTTGTGTCTGGAGCAGCTGGGGCAGTTGCTGTTGGAGCCCTAGGGGCTGCAGCCATGGGAAGGGCGGAAGGAATGAGGAACAGAAACTCAAGGGACATACAACAACAGGAACTCAGAGCAGCACAGCAATGGGTGGTTGATTTCTTAAGGGACCGTCAGTGTTCTTCAGGAAGGGACATTTCTGAGAAGTTTGGACTATGGAGGGTCAGGTACAGGGATGACGGGCAGATTGCATGGGTTTGTAGGAGGCATATGATCACTAGAGCTAATGAAATAGTTGAAGCACCCATCTGAAGATTTTAAGCTTTTTATGTTCCCTCTGTGCTACTAAAAATTATGTTCATTGATTTACAGCAGAGGTTTCCTGGAGCTTTACTGCTTATAGTTGTTCCACTTTCAAAATCAAGAGCACCCACATGTTCAAATCTGACAGTCATCTTAATTCTGTAAGATATAGATATTTTGCTGATGAATGATACCACCCAACTCTTTCCACTTTGATCCAGTATCCTAAGCTGATGAGTAAATAATCAGACCACAAAAGAGGAAATTTGTGCAAGACAGCAAAAAGCAAAAATCATGAACATGCTTTGGCTTTGCTGACTTTTGCTGCACCTCAAGTCACCATGTGACAGTGGGGCCATATCCATAACCATTTAAACAGTATAACTTGCATTCATCATTAGCATATAATTAGTTTGAAAACTTCATTTCACCATAATTCAAAGGTTTGAAAATTAGCAGAACAGACAAATAGAACAGAAAGAAGAAGAAAAAACGACAGTTTGGAAAGGGAAATTTTGCATGTATACAAACTGCAAACACAGCAGGAATAGAAACAAAGCTGAGAACCGCACCAGCATACAAGTCATAATTTCCCCGTCATCTCTAAACATCTCAACATGGACCCAAGGTAAGGGGGGAAAGAAACGAAAGGGAAGAAAAACAACACACACTACTACATCATGAATTATTACAGTTCATCACTATCAGTACTTAGTCTCTCCATGGGTGGAAGGGAAGTCTAACTGTTGTCACCTGTGCGTTTTCCCCCGAACTCTGAAGCTAGCAGTAACTAAGAGAGAGCTCAGAAGAAAGCCCTGCTCCCATAAAACACTCGGGAACCTGTTTTAGTTGATGAGGGTGTTTTCTGCTGCTCGGAGTTAGAACTGCCTGAACTGGCTGGCCCGCTGTTATCGATATCCAGTGGAAGCTTCATCTTTGCCAATGACTCGGTGAATTGCTGCATGCTCTTCATGTACATGTCAACTATGTCTTGTTGCACAACACCCTGCTCTGACTCCATTTTCATAGTAACAACAGGCTTGGTAACTTCCTCCCTTCCAGTGCCAGCTGAGGAGTCAGTTTCCCCATTTGCAGCATCCATGCCCTTATCCTCTTTGCAAACCGAGTTGTGCTCTTCAGACTGAGTCTTAGAGTTGTCTGAGCTCACACCATTTGAAGGAGATGAGACGACTCCATTGGTTGTTGACACACTGCTTGGAGGAGAATCAGGCTTATTAGTAGCTAGGGCAGAATCTACTCTAGCAGCTGAGAAGCTTTCCACTCCATTAGCAGCACATGTGGCTGTGCTGGTATGGCTGTCAGCAGCATCACAAGTGACCAAACTCTCAGAGGTTTCAGAGTCGTCCAGATTGGTACATGGTGTCCCAAAATACTCAGAAACCATCATCTGGTTTTCATTTGCAATGTTCGGATCTGGAAATTCAAGCTTGTCGAGTTCACATTCGAGTGATTCCTGTACCTCTGCATCCCGCATGATTCCATCAGCAGCAGGAATTGCCATTACATCAGGGGTAGCTCCACTGTACGAGAGTGAGAGTTGAACATATCCAGCAGGTGAATGGAAGAGATCAGTGGAAGAAAGAGAGAACTCTTTCTCCAACTTCCCATTCTTCATAACAACTTCGGACAAAGGCACCAAAGCAAATCCCAGCAACTGATCCTCAAGGTAGTTCCTCACCCGACTCATCATGAATATCTCGCACTTAAGGGAGCAGTCGACTGTCTTGACATTAATCCTCAGATTCTGGTTGAAAACCGGGTTCCTGCCACCACCATTGATGGTATTGGTAGAAACGGTGTTTTCAGGATCACTGGTGAGGCAAACCTTAGCATAAACATCTTGTTTGTGGTAGATGCATATGTTATGAATGTCCCTAGCCTGATGTACATAAACCTCAAGCATTCCGATGAAGTTGTCCTCCACATGGCCATTAGTTGCCTTCCTGGTACCCTCCTCCTTGGTTATGCTGCTGACTGCACTCCTAACAGAATAGTCAGTTTTATGTTTCTCTGGCTCGGTAGTTACAGCATTCTTGAATGGTGAAACAACAGACTGTGGAGAATCCATTAGCACCCCTGGCTGAAGTTTAGACCTGCCATATCATACAAAGCAAGTTCCATTCACACACAGAGAGAAGATAGCACAACTTAAAGGAAGTTGAAATTCCCATTACCATTTCAACAGTTCCAAAGATGAAAGGCTCTAGTTTATAACAGACTCAGTTCAACCATGAGACGCTCAAAAGCAAGAACAAGAACCAATACGAGCCTAAGATGCATAATCCAAGCCCTAATTTGTGCAGCAACAGCGTACCAAATGAACAGAAGATGAATAACAAACTGAGATCTTTGTAAGCTAGGCGTCAAGAACAGATGGCAAAAGCAACCAAAAACCTCGAGGTTTCAAAAAGTTCAAACCCAAAACTCTGCATTTTAAGTCAACTGCCCTATATCTGAATGAACCCAGAGATCAAAGAGCACTGTGAGTGTTCATAAAACTCGGAAAATGAAAGCCAGTTAAAAAGAGCACAAATTTCATAACTTCCTCAAACAACCCTACGGAAAATCAAGGACAAACTCCCACACCCATGTTACGCTTAAACCTAAAAGAAAAGCAGAGCCCCCTAGTCAGCGGTTCATATGACCGGATTCCAATGAAGTCGCCGACTTTGTAGCTCATAGGCCGGAATCCAAGGGAAGTAAAACAGGGGGAAAGCAGGGAACTTTGCAAACGGACAAAAGAAAAAAACCACCACAGAATCCGGCTCCAATTCCTCGACAATTGTCTGTCGGGAAACCAGGGGAATTCCAAAGATATTTACACAATTCATGCCCTAAAGCGACAAAATTTCCCAAGGTAAGAAGCTGAGGTCCATCAGAAGGAAATCCACAACAGAATTCTCCTCAGAAACCTTCACACGCAGAGAAAGCAAGGGCAAGGAAATGAACCTCGAGAACTCCAGAAACTAATCACAGCACACAACCGTCGAAATGAGAGCTGAAGAAATTAAACTTGAGGAGCAGAAAAAAACCCCCAGGAAACAGGATATTGCTGAAGAGAGCCCACCTTTTATCTTTCCACAAACAAAGTAAAAAACGATACACAGTCGACGAGAAGTTC